CCCGCACCCCACCGCAACACGCTCATTGACTTCGGTATACTATATTATTTGTAACATAAAAAAAAGAAAAAAAAAAGGTGGCAAGCGAGCAAACGACTATCTGAATCCATAGAAATGGAAAGCGACCGCTGCCCATAAACTTCCGCAATAGGGAATATGCATGTATTTTTTTCTTTTTTTAAACGACTCTACTTGTTATAAAATAACCAGAAAAAAAATGACGCGAGAATTCAACCATTGAGCTAAAAATAATAAAATAAAATTACAACCATTTTCGAGCGACCGAAACGCGACCCTAGTTGTCAATTGACAATTGACGTCAATCGTCTATTCCATTCATAACATACGCTCAGATGTCACTTCGACGTAAAAACTAACAAATTATCTCATTGCTTCTCAAGGTCAAAAAGTCAAAACTCGATTAATTTTATTATTCGTGGTACAAATAAGTGGTAATTAATAATTCTATTCATTAATTTCTTATTTTAAAGTTGGTTTTGATATCGTGTTTACAGTAAAATACTTCAAGAGTGTATTTCTATATAAACTAACGTAAATGAACTGTGTATTGACAACACAGCGACGCCATATTAGATATGCCACTTGCTTCGACCAATAGTGTGCGTTTTAGAACTTAGCGAGGGAATTTGAAATAAGACACTATTTAATGATTAAATTTTGCCACTAAATCACATTATATTTGAAAAATTCTTTGCAGGAATGTTTTTATAGTAATAAAGTATACTTAAAAAAACGTTTGGTACAATTTGGCGTCATATGCATATTGCCTATTGTAGATGCGTTGCCTACTGACAGAGGAGACGCACATAAAGAGGACATTTCCCTTTCCTATGCGTCTCCAGCATCAAATCCACTTACGCATCCCATCCTTTTTTATAAAAAATGGAAGGGAAGGAAAAGGGACCAAAGTTGGGCCTACTATTATTACATACTACCTGTTGCCCGCAACTTCGTCCACGCAATATTAAGATAAAAATATGCTTATATAGGCTAAGGCCCAACTTTGGTCCCTTTTCCTGGACTTTCACCGGTGAAAGTACGATCGAAATCGGACCAGCCGTTTCGGAGATCACCCGGAACAAACACAGCTACAGACAAAAAAAAATTAAATGCTATTTTCGTTATAAATAACGCAAATACATCTTCCCGAGATTTGGATTTTTTTTCTATATTACAGATGCTCTATTTTTATTATATGTATAGATTTATACTAACATTATAAAGAGGAAAGATTTATATATTTGTATATATTGAAATAACTCAAAAACTACTTAACCGAATTAAAAAAATCTTTCACCATTAAAAAGCTAGTATATCACTGAATGATATAGGTTATACTTTTTTAATTCCTTACATGTAAATTCGCGAGAAATTAACAAACAACAAATATCAGGTAGTGCGGAGTTAATAGAGACGGAGGGCGTGTCGTGGGCGGCGCTGGAGGCGGCCGCGGTGCGCGCTGGGCTGTGGGACGCGCTCTTCTGCTGCCCCGCCGCACACGCGCCGCGCGCCCCCGCCCCGCACCTGCCTGCCGTGCTTAAGTACGTACACACATCATACACATACATACATTCATACATGTAACACATCATTCGTACACGCAACACGTGTGTTCATACAACACATACATACATTCATACATGCAACACATAATAATACAACACACACACACATACAACAAATACCTGACGGTAGTTCTTTAGGGGTATAAACAAGACCATAGAGAGGGTTGTTTAGTCGGTAACGGGTCTCATGTTAGGTTAGGTGAATACTAATGACCCTAAGTCCGACACACTAGGCATATAGCTCCCATGTCTGACGGTGCTATAAAGTATTTTTCCCTCTTTAAAAAAACATACATACATACATACATACATGCAATACATTCATATTTACAACACATAAATTCATACAACATATTTTTACATGCAACACATACAAACTTATAACACATATATTCATACAACACATTCCTACATGCAACACATACAATTTTTATAACATAAGGTGGCAAACGACCAACCGGCCACCTTAATCTGCCAAAATGGCAAAGCGACCGGTGCCCATAGACATCCGCAATTGCAGATGCGTTTCCTACCCTTATCCGACGGAGGAGGAGACGCACATAAAAAAGACACTTCCCTTTCCTACGCATCTCCATCGTCAAATCCACTTCCTCTTCCTATTTTCTCCTTATAAGAAAAGGTTAGTAAAGAGAAAGGGACTCATCAGACGTAACACGGAATTGTTTCCATTTCACGCCTGTCTTCTGTGTGGTTGTGGTATTACAAAAATACATACATATATTCAACAGACGCATACATTCAACAAATACTTCACAGTAGTCCCGTGGGTATAAATAAGTCCATTGAGAAGGTTGTTTAGTCGGTAACGGGAGTCATGCTAGGCTAAGTGAACACTAATGACCCTGAGTCCGACACACCAGGCATGTAGCTCCCATGTTTGACGGTGCTATGAAGCATTTTTCCCTTCATAAAAAACATACATACATACATACATACATACATGCAACACATACATACATACATACATACATACATACATACATACATACATACATACAACTATCATTTGATGCCTGAGTTTTAAAGTATTTAATGTTTTTCAGATCGACGGCTCCGAAACGCGCATTTATAGACTTGCGTCCGAACGCACTGATAACCGATCGTCTGCCTACCCCGCTGTGGCTGCTCTTCTGTGCTTCCTTCTACACTTATAGAGTTTTAAGAGTAAGTTTTAATGTTGTATCAGATAATATCCTATTTTAAATATATTACTAATATTATAAATGCGAAAGTTTAGATGAAAGTGTATGGATGTATGGATGGATGTTTGCAACCTAAACTGAACGGATTTCGATGATTGTCATATATGTAGAAGGTAGCCTAGAACACATAGGATACTTACTTTTGTTTTATTTAATTTCACGTGGACGAAGTCGAGTGCGACAGCTAGTTATGACATTAAAACTAGCTTTCGCTCGCGTTCTCTATGCGTTAAATTAAAAAAGAAATTTGCCTATATGTTATTCCAGACTATCCTCTACATCTATGATAATGGTTAAGCAGTTTAGGCTACAAACTAACAAACATCCATACATCCATACATCCATCCATCTAAACTTTCGCATTTGTAATATTCTATTCGGAAGTATTACTATATATATATATATCTTTTAGTGTATATTGGGACTGGGTACGCACGCCGACTGGCTTGAACGCAGAAGCCAGCTGACGCCAGCGCTGGAACAGCTCGCCGCGCTAGTAGACTGCGGACAACTGACGCCAGCACTGGACAAGGTATACTAATATAATAAAACACACTCTTTGTTATGTAGGATGTCAGAATGTGTCGCATATTTTTAAATAATTCTATTCTAAATAAAAAACCCCATATTTATAAGAAGCTATAGGATATATTTTCACGCCATTTAAATTAGGTTGTGAATGAATTTGTGGTGTACGAAATAAAAGACGTGCGTGTTGTCCAAGATGTATAATCCGACTAAATACAATTCTCCAATATTCACAGGGTATAATAATATAAGTCGTGTTATAATAATTACCAGTTACCTACATTACATCCCTCCATGTTTATTTTACAATTACACTCTCAAAGCATATACATTTTTTTTTCTAGTAATATTGACGAAATCAATGCTCCCTTAAACTATTACACTATTTACATTTTCCTTATTTATAACAATACTGTCCTTAAAACTACCATTTAATATTTAATAACAACAAAACCATAACAGAAACTACTTAGGCCTATTTAACCTACACTGCCTAATGGGGCGACCCCTCCCTATATTGGTAGGAGATAATAAGTGTTCCCCGCCCGGTGAAGCCGGAGCGGGCTGCGGCTGCGACGCCGGCGGCTCGACCGCGCGCGGCGTCCCCGCTCCCGCCGACACCTCCGACTTGTCCTCCTCCGATCCCGCGCCACCGGGATCTGAGCCTTGAGAGTTCGCTTCGTCTACCCGATTGCTTAACCTAGGCGTGGCAGAGGCAAGCGATAACCTGCCCTCGCTAGGTCGTTTCCGCAGCTGGTCTATGTGCCTGTGCACCACCTCCCCACCTGTACCTTTTATCTTGTAACTACTAGACCCCAAAACCTCTACTATTTGACCCGGAATCCACTTTTCTCCCTTGAGGTACTGCCGGTACCAAACCTCGTCCGACCTATCGAGATTTCTATTAGCGCCGGTGGCCGCCTCCTGCTGACGCTGTTGTGCCCGCCGTACGTGACCTTCCCTATCTGGTTTGATAGCGTCCAAACGCGTCCTAACCCGTCTGCCGAGCAGGAGCATAGCTGGGCTCTCGCCGGTCGTAGAGTGTTCCACATTTCTATAATATAGTAGGAAAGACCACAAAGCTCTATTTATGTTCTGCTTTTCTTGTATCGCCTTTTTAATAACGCGTTTAAGGGTTTTAACGGCGTTTTCTGCTAACCCGTTCGACGCCGGATGATACGGGGCCGTGAATACGTGCTCGATGCCATTAAACTTATTAAAATACTCGAACTCTTTTGAGGTGAATTGCGCCCCATTATCAGTTACGATTTGCCGCGGTATGCCAAATCTGCTAAATAACTCGTTTAAACGATCAATTAAGTAGCTTGCGGAGATGCCCGACATATTAAAAATCTCTAACCACTTTGATGTCGCATCCACGACCACTAGGTAAGTTTTCCCGGCGATAGGTCCCAAAAAATCGAGGTGAAGCCGGGACCAGGGCCGCGCGGGCCAAGGCCACATGCGCGGGGTCTGTCGCGGCGGCGAGTCCGCCTGCGCCGCGCACGCCGCGCACTCCCGGCACGTTCGCTCCACCGCCTCATCCAGGCCCGCCCACCACACGTAGCTACGCGCGAGTGCCTTCGACTTTACTATGCCCATGTGTGGTTCGTGAATGATTTTTAAAATTTTACCTTTACATTGTTCGGGCACCACCAATCGGTGGCCCCACATAACACAACCTAACTCCTCGTACAGCTCAGTTCGTCTATTCCAGTATGGTTTCATATTTTCTACTTCACAATGCTCGGGCCAACCGTCCCGAATGTAACGCAATACCCTGGCTAGTAATGGATCCCTAACCGTCTCGCGTTTGATCTCGTTGTAATCTAAACATAAATCCTGTTGAATACAATGCAAGTATGTTTGCTCTGGCAGTGCTGGCTCGCTTTGTTTACAACTACTACCTATCGGCAACCGCGATAATCCGTCCGCGCCGTTTTCGTTGGTACATACGTATTCGATGTCAAACGAGTAAGCAGAAAGAATAATAGCCCACCGTTGCATACGACTTGCTACCATAGTCGGGATGCCGGTGTGTGGCCCGAAAATGGACACCAAAGGCTTATGGTCCGTACGCAACGTAAAATGCCGCCCGTATAAATATTGGTGGAACCTGTGTACGCAAAATATAATAGCCAGTGCTTCGCGATGTATTTGCGAATAATTTTTCTCAGCGTCGGTCAAGGTGCGGGACGCATACGCAACCGGCCGCTCGCCACCGCCGCCGGCGTCGATCTGCGTCAGCACGCCGCCGACGCCCCGCCCACTAGCATCGCACGTCACTATGAGCCGCTTGCTCGGGTCGTAATGGACTAGGGTGTCCACGCTTCCTAATGTCTCCTTAATTTGCAAAAATGACCTTTCGCATTCTCCGGACCAATACCAGTCCGTTCCCTTTTTTAATAAATTATACAATGGTACTAACTTACTACTCATATTTTTAATGAATTTCCCATAAAAATTTAGAATACCTAGAAAAGACCTTAACTCTGTGGTATTTGTTGGCCTCGGTATTTTTATGATTGCCTCCACTTTCGCTGGATCGGTTTTAATGCCCTCGCTATTTATTATATAGCCCAAATATCGAACTTCTCTAACCAAAAAAACACATTTACTAGATTTTAATTTCAGCCCCGCTTTCTGAAGTCTTTCGAAAACCTCCTGCAGAGCTTCTAAGTGCTCTTGCATACTTTTGCCGCCTATTATTACGTCATCTAAAAATACCTCTACGTGTGGAATACCCTGTAACACGCTGCACATGATACGTTGAAAAATTCCCGGACTAGATGACAGACCGTAAACTAACCTATTGTACTGGTATAGGCCCCTATGGGTATTTACCACCGTATATTTCCTAGTTTCGTCTAACTCGATTTGATTGTAAGCTTGAGAAAGGTCAATTTTCGAAAAATATTTCGCCCCACTTAATTTGACCATTAAGTCTTCAATACGCGGTAATGGATATCGATCAATGTGCAGTACCGGGTTTAACGTAGCCTTATAGTCCGCACAAACTCTCAAGGAGCCGTCCGCCTTGTTTACCGGCACCAGCGGTGAGGCCCAGTCGGAGCAGTCGACGGGCTCGATGACGCCGTCGCGCAGCATGCGGTCCAGCTCGGCGTCGACGCGCTCGCGTAGCGCGTACGGCAGTGGCCGCGCTCGGTGAAACACCGGCGTCGCCCCCTCCCGCACGCGCAGCGTCGCCTGACCGCCCGTAAAGCGACCGAGGCCGCTGCTGAACAAGTCCTTATACCTAGACAATAATTTATCTATCTGAGTAGACCATTTTAATTTTTCATCGTCCAAATAATTGCAATTGGATGATGAGTTGAATGAATTGAAAATCGGGACCTGAATATTCAATTCCGAAAGCCATTGCCTTCCGAGCAAGGAAGTATTGCCACCGGTTATAATAAACAATTCCAACCTTTTTTTGTGGTCACCATAACGGACGGTTGGTCGTATTAATCCAAACGGTCTTATCTTACTACCGTCGTAAAAATTTAAAATCAACGTACAATCTTCTATCTGGTGATGTCTAAAATACTTTAAATATGTTTCCCTACTTATACATGACACGGCTGACCCTGTATCGATCTCCATATTAATTGAAACTGAATCTATTATAACAGGTACACT